CACAGCATCTCTAGAGGCGATGTCTGGTACAGCAGTAAGACACACAGCATCTCTAGAGGCGATGTCTGGTACAGCAGTAAGACACACAGCATCTCTAGAGGCGATGTCTGGTACAGCAGTAAGACACACAGTAAGACACACAGTAAGACACACAGTATCTCGAGAGACAATGTCCGGTACTGCAGTAAGACACACAGTGTCTCTAGAGGCAATGTCCGTTTTTCATGTGTCAAGACTTGGGTGTACCAAAGAACTGTAATAACAAAGATATTATGTTTTTGCTGTTGTTATTTGTTTTGTTTTGTAAGTGTTTTACAGCCCTCGCAACTACATAATAAGGTCATATTAGCGCGCGGGACAAATTAAACATTTTCAGTCGGTAGGAAATTGTTAATTTTACCCGGGTGGCGGCCGAAGCCTACTCTTATCGATTTTAGACCACCAAGGAACCTTCCGAGATTTTTCCTACCAGAAGATCAGGGGTGTGGCTGAAAGACAGCAGTAAGAAGAAGCCAAGGCGTAGCAGTAGAAAGGCTGCAGAAAGAGTCAGGAGCCCAGAGGAAGGGGCAAAGGAGGTAAGGGGGTGGGGGCGGAAAGTGGAGACGAAAGCATGAGACAGAACATTGCTAGAGAGCAGGAAATGAGGTGAAAGGAGACAATTTAGAGAAGAAAAATTTCATTCGCTATCCGGATTCAAACCCAGGACCTATAGAGTAAGAGGCGAACACCTTAACCTCTAGGCCACGAGAGCCCCAAAGATACAGTGGAACTCGGATTCAACGAGATGAGATAGATTCCCCGTTGTTTTTTCCTTCTTTAAAATCAATAAAAATAACCCGGATTCAACGAGCACTTAAATCAGCGAGCTCGGATTCAACGAGGTCGCTTCCAGGGTGAACAGCTCCCTAAGACGTGGCTTCGCTAATTTTTCTCCCAGAACGAACTTTATCTATTCCTGGAAACCATCCATTGCACCTGCATCATGAACCAATATGCACTTACCCGATTGCATGCCGCAAATCAGCGGCCTCTTTTCATACCAACACAATATGCGTTGTTGGCACGCGCACGTGTCTACTCTGGCGTGTGTCGGGGTCGGATGGGCGGCCTGCACACGTGTGGCTGTGTGTGCGTGTCGGGGAGGGGGGGGGCACTAGCGGTCCGGGCGATGAACGTCGCAGATAC